AAAGAAAGAAAAGGCATAATTAGAAAGTTAACTAAACTGTCTCTATTCACAGATGGATGACATGGTCTTCTACACAGAAAATCATACAGAAGCCACACACACACACACACACACACACACACAAAACTCCTCAAACCAAAAACACAAGGTCAGTATATTTATATTTCTAAATACTAGAAATAAAGAACTGGAAATAGAAATTTTCAAAACAGAAATAATTCTAATATCTTCAAAAATAGATGTAAATCTAATAATATGTGCATAATCTAGATACTGAAAAATATAAATCAATGAAAAAAATCAAAGATACCTAAATAAACAGTGCAATCCAATGTGTTCATGGATTAGATTATCACTTATCATTATGCTATTAATTCTCCTCAAACTGATACATAATTTTAAACATAAAATCTTCACAAAATTTTTGCTGATCCTGACAGCTGACTCTTTTATATGGAAAGTCAGACAAATCAGAATGGCCAAAATAATTTGGAAAAGAACAAAACTGAAGGACTCATGTTACCTATCAATTTATAATAGCAAAGACAGTATAGCATTGACAAAAGGATGAACACATAAATCAACGGAAAGATAGTAAGCTCAGAAATAAGACCTGCACTCATTCAGCCAACTGATTTTATTTTTTTACAAAGATACAAAGGCAATTAAGTGTGGAAAGATTAGTTTCTTTTTAAACAAATGTTCTGGAATAATTGGACAAACACATGCAAATAAAAAATAAACGAACCTTAATACATACTTACTACTTTGTATGAAAAGGGTCAGATCTTTTGGAAAGAATCATGAAACTTAATGTAAAACCTAAAACTATAAAACTTCTCAAAAAAAAAAAAATCTGTGTGACACCAAGTTAAGCAAAGATTTTTTTAGCTCTGACACCAAAAGCATTCATTACTCAAAAGATGGAAAAATTAGATTTCCTAAAAATTGAAATAAGTATTAAATAAGATAAACTTTTAAACATTATTTAAAACAGAACAGTTTGGGAGCTTCTGATATATATGTAGTATATTCAGAAGGTATGTGCTCAATGATTAGTAGAAATTAGATGTGCATAGTAAAGTCACTGAGTTTATCTGTCATTCAGGTTAATGATCAATAATGGCTTTGACCACTGTACAGTTTTAAAACATATACAGGGGACAATTGGTTATAGTCAGAGTTAAAAGATAGAAAACTAACT